AACATCCATCAAACAATATTTCGAAAGCTATTATTATTCATTTTTACGTTTTAATTAGACACTATAAATCTGCAAAAGTAATCCCATTGATTACCTTCTTATTTTTGAAGATCATATACATAATCAAAAAAGAACATTTACCACGCAACACTAATTTATTTTCATAAGAATCTGTTAAAAAAAAAAAAAGTTGTGCTTTTATTCGAATTGTAAAAAAAAAAAAACAGAAATATTCATCCGAGAAAATATTTTCGCCTTTCTTGCCTCCTACTTCATCAGACATCAAAAAACATCTAATTAATCAATTCTTGTTTTGCGTCTCCCATCATATATCTTATGATTAATTTCACTGTAAGCGATATGAATGGCTTTCGAGATTCAAGCTTTTATAACCATTTGTCACTAATTTCTTATTACGCTGTCAAATATATTTTACAAATAATTTATTAATGAGATATAATATTATAAAATATAAATCAATAAATCGTATACATTAAACTAGTAATTTATATTTTACATTAGATGTAAATTTAATAAATAAAATAATTTATATTTTTATTAATAATTTTAATTATATTTATTTTTTATTACTTTTTCAGTGAAAATTATTACGAGAACGAGGACGAAAAGAAGAGCGGAAAAAATTAAAATCTCATTTGTATTATCTATATAGTGTAATTATTTTATATTTAAATGTAAAATAAATAATTTTGTTGTTTTAAAAAGCAATCACAATGTATATTAACTAAATAAAAATAGTAGCTAATTGCATCCTAAAATATGGCCAACGATGTACAACTCTTAAAGTTAATTTAAAATAAATCCTTGAAATAATAATATGATAAGTGAAAGCTTATAATTTATCTTTTTATTTTATTCAATGCATTTCACACGCCCACTGTACGTTTCTCGTGAGCCGTTTACTTTTAATGGTTGTGTACTCTATATTATGAACACCGCCACTTGTTTAGACTGTAAACTTATTTAATTATTTAATAACCTCGAACCAGTTTCTTAATTATAATTATTATGAATGCTGAAATCGAGATAATAAGTTTTCAGTTAAGTAATTTTTCTTTTATCTAAAATTGTATTCAACATAAGGTAGTTTACAGAGTACCTAGTACCTACACACTAATATGACATGTGATCTCAACTAAGTTTTCATTAAACTTCTATAGTTTATGATTTTGGCTATAATATGTTTAGGTTAAGACAAATTTGACATACAATTTTAAAAACAGAATGATCTTGAGAAACTTATTCTTTACGACATTACTGAATTGTAATAGGTACTAAGTATAAGTATCATATCTTTAACAACACTATAACATTTAATATATATTATGATTTAATTACAATTAAATCATAATTAGGCTAAAATTTGTTTTCGTGAAAATTGTATTAATAATTTGGTGATACAAATTTAATTCATTTTCAGTTGACACATAAAAATAATTATACATATTCAGACATTCTAAAATTGTATTAAAAGTAATTCGATATTCAGACTAAGCATTATTATATGTTAATGGGTCTGGAAATAGTTTGAATTTAATATGTTTCCAATTAAAATATATTTTATTTGTGAGTTTATCAATACAATTTGTCTATGCATATCAATATAACTATATTATATTATATGTAAACATTTTATTTAAAAACCTAGTATATTTATTTGTTAAATAAAATGTTTTGCTAAAAACTATAGCAACTCAAATTTACATGATAATTAAGTGTCAAGTAAACATAAAATAATATAAGCAAATGTGTATAAAAACTACATCCATAGTTTTCTAAAATTTGTCGAGTACGGAAAATTATACTATTTTTAAACGGTGCAGTAAAACAGAACTATCATATTATAAATTAAATAAAACAAAAACAATAGACTATTTGAATGACATTAATTGTTTTAAAACCTTACCTACTCATAAAACTATAAAAGTGAAAAAATAAATAAATACTGTTACCTAGTATTTAAAAACATCAACTATTTAAACTTGAAATATCTCTTATTACTAGCTCATATACTTAAAGTTTGGTTTTAAATTTCTTCTTAAGACTCATTAGTTAGTATTTCATAGTTTAAAAATATTATAGTCAGTCAATATAATACAAACAATTTTTATTTTGATCCGATATTTTTATATTACGAGTATTTTGAAAATTTTAAATATCTAAGTTACTAATAAGCATTTTTTCTCAACTTATTAAATTGGTCAATAACTATACAATTTCAATAAATCCACATAATTAAGTTACAAAACATCATTACCTATGTGATATTTTTATGATTAAATAATGTTTTATTTACCATTTATATAAATAAACAACATACATTAGAAAAAATAGAAACTTTTACTAGATACAACACGATTTTGAAACTATATCATAGATGATTAATGAGTTAATGAGTATAAGCTTCATAATGAGTTATCCTACAATACTTTATAATTATTATGTGACACATATACTCAGTTTATAATATAACTATAGCTCATTAGAAATTTGAGACACGATTTTGTTATGACAGGGTGTATTAAATAGGTATAACGATTCTACAATTACATTCCATTAAGTCTTATCAAAGGTGTATAAGATATATAATCTTAATTTATTAATCTATTTACCTACCTATAGAAATGTCTAAATTTAAATTGTTAATTGTGTATTTACCGAAAATCGCTTTATCTGCTGCATGTCATGTTCAAATTTAATTATTTGTTATTTTTATATACTTATGGCATTTTTTTAGATTATTTATTAATTGGTAATAAAATCCATCAATATAAAATCCTAAATTCAAATATTTTAGTTAATTTAGAAAATAAACTGAATAAGTGTTAAGAATTGTAAATTGATATATTAAAATATTCTTACTAATATTTAATTGTCAAATAAAGTTCACTTTGCAATAAGTATGCACTTACAAATATTAAAAATTAGTACGAGATAAATGACGTTTTTTATACACTAATAAACATACTTATATTCTAAAGTACACATTTTTAAAATTAAAATAAATATATTTATCGACTACAATACTTTCTTTTGAATCTATTAAGTTAAAACCTTATAATTTGATGTTTATAAAAATAAATTATTAAAATTTAATCTCACGTTTTTCTGGAGCATATAAAAAAAAATGATAAAAATTTATTGATGTTGATAAAACTTTTACATTTTTTAGTTTTTATAAAAATGTATGAACTTGAAACAATATTTTACATTTAATATAAAACAAAATAGCTCACTTGAGAATATATAACGTAATTTGTATAAAGACATAAAACGTATATTGTTATTTTAAATATATAAGTGCAATACTGATACTATTAAAATAGCAATTTTAAACTTAAATTTATGAAACAAAAAATATATATTTATAATTTGTTTTTCAATGAAAAAATTTTATTTAATAATTAATCAATTTGTACGTAATAATAATAATAATTTATTCAACAATATTTAGATTGTAAAATTGTTTATGACTTATGCGAGAATATTAATGCCACCATCTTGTTTAGGGCGTTTGGGCACATTTCCAAACTAACATTATGATAATGTTAGCCGGTTTTCTTAATGATCATCGGCCTTGAAAGTCTATGAAATATAAAGAGAATTATGACGGGATAGAAACATTATGGAATTCTACTGAGCCATATTAATTAATCAGCAGTTGCTAAATTGCCCTTTATAAAGGATTTCAACATAGTCGTTTCAGCAAAAATTATATTTATAATAATAATAATATTGTCCTTTGTAAAAACAAAATCTTCATTTTATTTTATTTTATTTCAATAGATAAGTGAAACACGATCTGAAGAAAATAATGTTGCATCAGGTAATTATTCCAATGTAATTTTACTTATTCAAATATTGTGTTTTCCTTGTATTCTGTTTGAAATATGAATTTAACATAAATGTACTATCTTTCATAAATCATAATTTAATTTCTTGGGAAAACAATTAAATACTCATCATAATACCAAATAAATATAAATAAGTAAAAATTGATAAAACTTCGCACAATCTCAAATTTTGACAGATAAATGATTTCAAAAATGTCTACATTTTTAACGTAAATCGATATTATAAAATATAAATATTAACAGACGAATACTTTTTTTTACGTTCAATATAATTTCTAAAATAGCAAGTAAAAAGGAAACTGCAATTGACTTGTAAACGCAAAGAGGCATTCTTGTGTATTAAATAAAATATAAGAAAATAATAACATTGAAGAAATAACATTGCTACTTCTAGGAAATTTCGTTAAAATTGTAGTGTTTAATGTTTTGCCAAAAATCGCCTCGTAGGAAAAAATGCGTAATGAGTTTTTTAAAATAATTTTTCACGGTTCTAGAGGCCAATTGTTGAAACCGAATAAACGTTCACTTATAATCGTTTCATCGCTTATCATTATATCTATAACGAATATATGTATAAGTACATTGATTCAAATTTGCGAATGAATACACAACGAGCAATAATATTGTGCTTCTCGAAAATTACAACAATTTCGTATATTATACATATCGATCTCGCAAAAGAACCGTCGAGAACCAAAAAAAAAAAAAAATAAAATATATATATCGTACTTTAAACGGCCAATCGTAACGAAATCGTAGCACTCGTATTATTTCATTATAGTATATTATATTTTGTCGGTGGCATTATAAATCGAGAACATCGTGACGGCCGTATGTATTTTACGAATCGAAAACTACAGAAAATAAAAAACCGCCACCAATGAAAGAAATAGTACCTACCGAGAGACCATATTATTACAATATTATCAATATCACCGTAATGGCATAATATAGCATAGGTATATTATAATGATATATATATATATATATATAAATATTGTATAATGTATAATGTGTAACTATTATACATTCAACCGGCACTTCAGTGGCATTCGCGGCGGAGTGGTTCAAGTTCATTCGATTCCTAGCTACAGCGGCGGCGTGTGAATACTGCAGATTGGGGATCTGATTGGAGCGCTGTCGGTGAAAGGCGCGTAGTACACACGTACATATAACATTTGTCACGTGCGTTTTATTATTCTTTTTTCGTTATTATTATATTTTACGTACAACGCGTACAGTGCTCAAGAAGCCGCCGATTGTCTGACAGGTCGGATTTGTAAACACGCGTAGGTAAACACCACACAGACCGCCGCCACGATGAACGTCTTTTGGACGTTTTCCGCAGTGCTCCTGCTCAAAGCAACAGGTATGTAAGCTTGTGTTTTACTAGCGTTTATCGTATATTATCACCACTGTTATTACGGACCATCGGCAAGAATGTCATAGGTCCTGTAATATTATTGTCTTCGGTTTTGTGGCTATCGAAATACGTGGTATACAGTAACATCTATTTAAAAATTTGAAATGGCCGAAGTACGACCAGCTCTGCTTTTATTGTGCGGTATATACAACGCATACTGTATACGCGTATGCATGTGTTGTTTTATTTTAAACGTACTTACATTTTTCTTGTGTCATTTCGAAAGACGGTTACGTATACGATATCACGAACAAACAAAATAATTATGGAGATTCTTTTGGTGATATCCGATTAAAAATACATTTATTATAATGTACCTAAAATACATTAAACACTAAAAACATTGCTACGAAGCAATATACCTATATGTTCGGTTATCGTTTGGAACGTTGGGTGTAGTCGGAAGTTCACGATTTAATAATTTTCGTATAAATTATCAGTGTTATTATATTAATATTTTATAATATGCATATAATTTGGTTGTTATGATATTAAATAAAATACACTAGACAAAGCATAAACATATTATATATAGGTGGTACATGCAATAATTATCTACAGATGACCTAGAAAACTGATCGAGTGCATGATCGCTGCGCGTATAATATTTAATATACATGATGTGTATAAAAAAGAGTTAAAAATCGGGCGTTGTTGGTTGTAGGAGCCGGACATAGTTGTGGGGTGGCTGAGTGAGGACATATTTTGGGTTTAAGAAACGATAGACGACTAATAGAAAAGCGGCCCCGAAGAACATAATATTGTTATATTGTTACCTTACTATAAATCGTGTACCTACCTATACACGACACAACACATTATATTATATTAGTTGTATGTCAGTTGCATAATATCGTTATAAACTTATAAATAATAAAAAATGCATATATATATATATATATATATATATCGTGTCCGAGTTGTGCAACTAGCATTGGACGCGTATATGACAGATTGGAACAAAACCACTAGCCCGGAGCGTTTCATAAATTACTCCATACCGACAGCGGCCATTATGTTATATACGTACATGTACGCCCGAGAGACAGTGCGCACGCCTCGATATCGGGACCGCGATCACAAAATAATGACTTATATTATATTTCTGGGTTAGGTTTATACTTATAATATAATAACGATAATAATACTGTAATAACATAATATACTCTCGTGTGCGGTTTTCGCTCGGGTGAAAGTTTGCAACGCGCTCGCGATGCGGTTTGAATGGGTGTTCCTCCCCGGCGAAACCAGTTTGAACCGCGACGGCGGCAGGCTGAGGATAAATTTAACTCGTACCTATATGCACAATATTATATGAGCGTTTAATATTATATATTCGCATATACCGCTCTATATAGTATACGCGTGTGTGGTGTGTCATATACGTAAGTACCCTCATGGACACCCGCAATTGTATGCTGTTGCTGAGCTTTATACTCGCGTCATCGCCGAATGTGGGTATCGGACTCTACATCGACGCGATCGTTTGCTCCCGCCAAAATCGACATCTCTAAAGCTGCGCATTTAATCGCTCGTCACTTCGATGATATACTATCGTATTGAACGGACAAATAAATTCATACGTCGTATACAATCGATAGTGTCGTTGGGCAGCCATGTAATAATATGATAGTATTCAGTGTAGCCGATCGAAGTATGACGATGATCTCCCAAATGCATTTTCAAAAACCGATTGATATAATATATTATGGTCTACTGCGATAGGTCTTGGCCACTATAAGTGTAATGAACAGATGAATTTATTTAGATCAAGACGAATTCGATAAGACTATTTGCGCGTTTACATAAAGGTACAGGTTTGGGCTAGCATTTAGTCTACCTGCGTGGCGTCACCAAAACTTACTACAGTAACCTAATTTGTTTTTGTTTTTTTGCGATTCGCAGTGATCCAGTGCCAGGCATACAGCGCTGAAAGGTCGTCGCAATGTCCGGAACAATATGGCGAACAGACGTACGCCCACCCCGATTATTGCGATCAATTTTACCTGTGCACGAACGGTACGCTGACGCTAGAACAGTGCGGCAACGGTCTTCTGTACGACGGCAAAGGCGCCGCCTACCACCACTGCAACTACCACTGGGCCGTTGAATGCGGAAATCGCAAAGCCGAACGTAGGTAGCGCGCAGAGATGAAATATACGACGCAAAACTTAAAATATAATGTACACGTTTTGGGTGGTAACGTGTGGGTGTGATCCCGATGGGGGTACGGACAGGAAACGAAAATCCTAATCGGGCGGTTTAACACTTTCTTATCATGCATAACCACGAGGGGCGATGAAATAGAATACACTCGATTGTAGGCCAAAGTGCCTGAAGAGATCATAGACCGCAGAAACCGATATATTTTTTCAAAATATGCGGATCTACGCGATCCCTTCAGATATTGTGTTAGCCTAATAGTACTGACCCTTAATATTTGTACGTTGGTGCGCATAAAAGCGCAACCTAGGTACAAAGTCAAATGTTGTAGGTCCTTAAAGTGTTATTAAACATTCATGATGTAGTGATTATATAAGACACCAACAAATTGATTTATTAAAAAATTGAAACAATTTGGGCTCGTTCTTGGGGAGTGCCAGTTTTATATTCTTGGGAACCCTAGAGCATAGGCTGTTTGTGACAATCGTGACGAATTTATCTGTAAAAACATTACATAATGACATCATTATCGTCTTCCGCAGTTGTCGCCATCAGTTCTCCCGGATGTGAATACCAATTCGGTCTGTATTCGGACGGTTCCGCTTGCAGCACCAACTACGTTAAATGCGAACACGGATCGCCATACTCGCTGCCCTGCGAACCTGGACTGGCTTACGACGACAGGATCAAAAAGTGCAACTGGCCCGATGAGCTCGTCGACGTTGGATGCAACCCAGCAGGTGCTCGAAATTCTCGTTTCTCGCCCAAGCGCATATTATAATTACAATATGGTAATATCACGCGCACCGAGTCGAATTTACCCTTTTAATAACTTGAGATGGCAAGCAAAACCATTATAATTTTAAGCTGAAATTTACAGTAAGCTCATACCGTACCTACATAATAATTGTAAATCCGTCTTTGGTCGTGAACGCGGGGTATTAGGATATAAATCGAACAATGTTGTTCGAACAATGTATCGAATTACGTTTTGATTTTTCTTTTCCGCGCAGACATAATTGGATTCAGCTGCCCGGACAAGGTGGACCCGCACTCGGTGTCGGCCAAATTCGAACCGTACCCGAGATTCGCCCTCCCCGGAGACCCTCACAGGCTCATCACGTGCGTGAATGGACATCCGAGATTGATAAGCTGCGGTGAAGACAGCGTTGTGGACGAATCGTCGTTGACGTGTGTCGAAAAAGGGTAAGTGTACACGTCATTAAATATTATTGTTCGCTATTTGCGCAATTATTACTCACCGAATTAAACATAATTCTCCATAATAGAAATTTAATATATTCTATAATTATCCGATCGAACAATCTAGACGTGATACGTTAAACCATAGTATTTATTTATCACATTGTTGAATATTGATTTAAACTTTAAAATAAAATATTATGTTCGTAACGTTTTCTGCTGATTTATTGTTTCGGTTTTTAAACGTAACGATCGATTAGTCCGTATAATATCTGTCACATTTTTACGAGTTTAATGTTTATTGCTCCTCATTTTTTTTTTTTTTATTTCACTCGCTGTCGGTTTGATTTTAAAATATAACATAACAGAATAGAAAAAAGTCCTATCTCCATCTCAATGTTGAAAAATAATTGAGTGTATTTTTTTCTGTTGCAGGTCTCATTACAGAAAGAGAAAGTAAATCATATCATCGTTTATCCATTAGTGTCATGTTTAAAGTGTACATTTTCACATAAAACACATATTGTACAAATCATTGAACGACATTGGCACTGTGGCATTGTTACATGAAAACATATAAAAATAATTTTTCTGGATTGTTATTTATGCCAAATTAATAGTTATAAAAAAAAATTAAAAAAAGTTTCCAATTAATCGTTGTTATATTATTGTTATTATTAAATTGTAACTTAAAAACTCCATATTACACCTCTATAAATAAGTCAATAGTAAATCAATAATATTAATGGATAAGTATTGATGTATCGTAGAAGTGTTGAATTAAGTAAAAAATTAAAACCACTCTGTATCTTATAACAGTTATTATTTAAATAACATCAGAAATGATTTTTATTTCTACATTAATACGGTGAAATAAAACCAAACAATAGTTTATTTATTACGTAGGTATTAAGTCAGTATATATCTGTGCCTAAAAACGTCAATCCAATACCAAAATATGGTATGGAAACTATTTTTATCGATACATTTTTAGAAAATTATGACGCATACTTATCAGTGGCGTAGTCGAGTAAATACAATTTTACCCGCTTGCGTAATTTTTTTTAACCTTTTTATGTAATTTATTTAGGTATGGTTATTTTTGTGTCTCATAATTAATTTAAAATTCGTGTTTATATTTAAAACTAATTGATAATATTATTACTTCTAATACGTACTTAGGTATATATACTTAAATACTTTAATTAAATGGTTTTAATAAAAAATAAATTTAAACAAAACAACAATTGTTAATTTTTTTTGTTGATTTTATAAAATAAAATATAACTTTTAAATGTATATTGTATATCTTCTTGGTTAGGGTAAAGGATTTAAATCTCCTAACCTCTAATCTGTATCTACATCACTGATACCTATATTCAAAAATAGAAACATAATCTCATACTTTTTTCGTTTAATTATTGAAAAATGCTTGATAAATCATAAAAAAAACATATACGTTTACGGAATAATAGGTCGAAAAAACTTCAATTTTATACAAAATATTTTTAATTTATTAATGTATATTAAATCTTTCACCGCCTAGATATATTATGGATAAAAACACGAGTTTATCGAAACGGTTACTTGTACTATAATCAATGACACAATAGAAAACGAGACTGTGAACTTTATTACCCCAAATCTCCATCAAACTTCCCCTCTCCTATTAAATCAAGTTTATACGAAGTAGGTACGTTTACGTGTTTATTGTTTATTTTTGAAATTTAAAAAATACGAGTAAGTGCAGTTACCGCTTGTTCTTCTCTTTTTTTTTTATCTCAGCTACGAATTGAGAGATTTATTTCACCAATATAACACACATCCAGATAACATAGTAAATAATGTCAAATTTAACTGAAATAAAAATATTTATACTTATAGAAAATATTATTCTACGTTGATTTTAATGGATATGGTATATTTATTATTCATGTTGCGGGATACTGTATCCCCCTTACCAATGGACATTTTATCATCTATCACCGATTGGACAATAGATAAAAAAAAAATTTTGATGATTTATCAACAATATACGGTTTTCCTATCAAACAGTACAATGATATACTAAAAATAGTAGTACGCACAATTATGGGATTAAAATGAAACCAATCAATTAATATTATATCGTTATGAACGAATCAAAGGTGCCTATAACTGTGATGCATTAATTTTAAGTTATAATAGCTAATAATCGATGCATATGTGGACCGACGCCGGAGAATACTCGTCTGAGCGATTTATAAACTCGGACAAATCGTGCGATTCGATCGAAGTACTCAGTATATAATACAATCATAACTTTGTACCATAGACACGATATGAAAACGTATTATGGATACGTCGAGGTCGTTTTCTATATCGTATTATTATGTGAACGTATTATAAAAAAATGTATTACGTCATCATTGGAACGCCTCGACAGACTATACTGACACGTGACATAGGGTTTGGGTTTATTATATAAATTTTAATCGTTTGACGCGTTAGAGATGTTCGGCCAAAGTAAAACTATTACCATAAACTGGTACGTTATTATCTACGAAAGAGCAGGCGAGTGTATGATGCATCCAGAAAATTATAATTTGAAACAGTATTAATAACATGCACATAAAGTTTTAATTATATTAATACTCGATGTAATCGTGTTGTGTAATAAAAAATCAAGATTTGGTACGGATTTTAATTTTTGGATCGGTAACTCAACTCTGCTTCAGATTAATGATATTCAATAATACCTATCGGCGGCTTTAATTCGATTTAACATAAACTTCGATGCAACGTTTGAGTTAACACAAACGAGAGAGACAAAAACCGTAACCATAATAAAAATAAATATTACTTAAATTATTTCACTATAGACGGGGCCGTCCATCGAAAAAGCAAAAAATAATCTCCGAAGGAAATCTGATTATGTGTACGATATTACTATACATAACAAAACCTAACACATGATTCGTTTGATTTTATGTGCGTTATAACTTCTGTTCTTTTATTATTTTGTGTGAACTCTGGCACAATCAAAAAATACATTCTATTTGAAAAAGAAACACGAGATAACAAGGACTTAATGCAATTAAATAATAATCTACGTACTGTTCGGTTTTCAGCGGCGTTTCGGATATGCAATACGCAATTCACATACGCCAGTAATATTGTGGACTATGGTATGTTGAATTCATTTTAATATTCGAATAGAGATTATTTACCTTTGTATTTTAAATTTTGAGCGGAACGACGAGTGTATAGATTTAACAATGATTTGAGTTTTTTTTTTTGTGTTTAATATTATTTTCATTATTTCTTTTTGGCGTGTCATCAATTATTGACACAGTAAAATATTTCAACCTTCAACTTTGAAAGTGGTTATCGGAAGCAAATTTGATCTATCGTCATGGATAATCGGTAAATAAATAAATAAGATTTTGGCTCTACCAAAAAGCTTGATAATTCAATACAAGATCTAAATTGTTCCAAAGCAATTTAAAAATATATTGGCACGATTCTTTCTAAGCCTTTAAAGTTCAAACTTTGACATCAGTTATACGCTAAATATAAGATTTCTAATAGAAACATAAATTCTAAAAAATGAAAATGCAAAGTTTCAAAGATATTTTAAATTCAATTTCGACAAACTTTACGAGTAATATTGAATATATAATGGATATGTCAATTCAAAAAAAAAAAATAAAATAAAATATTAGTATTATTCGTATAAAAACATATGTATAAATATATATGGTATATTAGTATATTATATACAATATACCATATAGTATGCGATTAGTTTTCGGCAAATATTAATTAGTAATCACTAATCAAAAAACTTACTACTAAAACAACATTCCTAATACGTTTTTCAGATCGTCTTGGAAAACATAAACATTATTTTGATATAAAACGACAAAAATATTTTTACTCTTGACTACAGTCAACTTTATATTGCTCACTTTGATATCGTTATAATGCAGATTGCAGTCGCAGACACTGTTTGACAATAAACTCGTATTTAATAAAGTGATGTTTTTTGTTTTTTTGGTTTAATAACAGTACACCGAGATCATTTAATCGATAATCGGAATCTCTTGTAAACCAACACGTTATAATATCTCATATCAGAGAATGTGTTATTGCTATATTCAATAGTCAACTTGTGCTAAGTGATTAAAAAAATAATAAATGCATTCGTTTATTTTAATTGCAAATATTGTAATTAATAATACACGCATTATAATGTTATAATTTCTTAAATGTATATCAACACTATATTATGGAAAATAAGTGCTCAGCGTACAATATTATATTTTATTTTATATATTATACTAAATATTAAAACTTACCTTTAAATGGCAATATTATATATCTTAATAAAAAACAATAATGTAACTCTAATATAATCTCTATTACAATAGCAATGTTTATAAAAAAAATAATTGTAAAAATGTTGTACGACAATATAAATACATTATATATATTTTTATACGTACGAGAATATATTATAATATAATATATTAATTATATTTGACGGAGACAGTAGTACAAACATTTAAACTTATTAAGTTATTGTTTATCATTAGAAAATAAAATGCGTTATAAACTCAGTCCTTTGGCAAGCAATTTCAATTTTGTATCAACACGAATAACATCTAAACATTACACTCTTAAAAGTATACTATTATTTTAATATCATATCATGAATATGTTAAACAAAGCGATGTTACGAGGATGCCCGACGCACACATGTCGTGTTTGTTGAATTTGTTTCATTCGACGGGTTTTAGCAAATGTTTTAAAATATATTTTTATTGACGCTAATGAAATGGTATACAGACAATTTATTTTGAAAAAATAACCCATAGATACGACCTTTAGACGTAGTTTACTGACTGTATACCTACAAGGCTACGAATATAAAGAAACTGAAAAAAGGCGTAGTTTTCAAAACGGACCCCACATAACTGATACGGAAATCGAGTGGATCTGAAATATATCGATAATCAAGAGAAACGATTCGTCGACGGTCACCGCATACGTCTTTTTATATTACGTATCTGTGAAATGGATGTCGACAAAAACATATTTTCAGACTCTCGATCGCAGCTACCGAATGCGCGATTTCTCGACGAAACTCGATACGATGATTGACGTGTAGTTTACGTGGTGATCATTATGCGGCATCGGATACCCTCGAAAAATCGCCTAAAACTAACGGAAAATAAAATCGAAAAATCGACGTTTTATTGTAGACAGTTAAGTAGGTAGGTAAGTATAGGTGGGTATTCGAATTTCGCGAACAAAATCATTTCTGACGGAGGTATCGAATTTGATTGTATTTTCGATGTAGGTGCTATATAATATTCGTTTTCGTTTTGAACTATATATTCTAATAATATACTAAATGTGTAGATGTGTGTAGGTGTGTCGACGTTAGTTGTACAGTGCAATGATTGTGTTTAGTGTTCGGAAAACGCGACCGGTACGTCGACGTCGTCACCGACATCGTCTTCGGCGCCGCCGTACGATACCGGAGTGTTTTCTCTCCTCTGCACGGTGTGCTGTTGCTGGTGTTGCACCGGCAATGGAGGCAGTTGGAACTGTTGTGGTTGGGCCCGCTGTTGTGGCACGAACTGTTGCTGTTGCTGCTGCTGTTGTTGTTGCTGTTGTGGCACAAACTGTTGCTGTTGTTGCTGCTGTTGTGGTTGTTGGACAGTCCTAGCCGCGGGCTGTTGGAACTGAGCCCGTTGTTGCTGTTGGAACTGTTGTTGCTGTTGTTGCGCAGCGACGGGCAATTGTTGTTGTTGTTGTGGTTGTTGCTGCTGCTGCTGCTGCTGCTGTCTCTGCTGCGGCTGACCACCTTGCCGCTGGTGAAGTTGCGGTTGCTGCTGTTGCTGTTGTTGTTGTTGTTGCTGATTTCGCTGTTGCTGCGGTGCGAGGGTGGCGGCGGCCTTAGCTTGTTGTGGTACGTTCTCTTCACCGTCATCTTCGTTAGACGGCAAGTCGTCGGGCGACGGGGCAGGTGTGGTTGGCACCTCGCAATCCTCAGTGGGCGGCACAACGCATCTTAGAGTGCGCCTGTCGAACACCAACATGGCCGGACACCTCTGCAGTCTCGGGTAACCTCCCTGACACTGCCAGTACCTATTGCACGATTTTCCCAGTGGTACGTTTCCGTTGGCGTCTTCGTTGCAGAGAGCTAAAACGTAAAACGGTTTTTAACGTCATGCATTTACGTACATCGTAATAATATATCATGCACATTGTACAAGATTTTTGTAAACGAATAACAAAAAAAAAAAAAAAAAAATATTTGACCTGCGTGTAAATTAAAATGCAGGGACTACCGCCTGATTTCGATAGAAAGAGCGAGAGAGAGAAAGAAAGGGAAATTACGTGAAAAAGTAAAAATCAAAGTACTGGAAGACCCGTGCGTTTTTTCGATGATAGTAGCGCTCACGTTATTAGAAAAAATTAATTGTAATGAATTCGTAAAATCTGTCTCGAATAATTTTCGACCTAACTATATTAATATGTCGTTATTTAAATCTCGAAATTGAAAAAAAAAACCAGTATCTACCGCTTTTTGACTTTATTTCTACGGCCCATGCCCGATTACATAACTCCAATAATACGATACATCCAATCGTGCAATATACCTACATCATAAACGTATACCTACGCTCATATAAAGATACTTTGCATACCGATCGTGTCAAAGCGTGCAGTCAGTTAGTTATATAAGCCGATAAATAAATTCGGGTTGACTGTAACGGACGAGTGTAACAAGTGTTGCTCGTACAAGCTACACGGTGTCGATTCGTTGATAAATAAAACGGGATTTCTCTTTCAAATAGCATTTGATGATAAATTAATAACGAAATAATGACAAAAATTTACCTAATGCATACGTGCGCGCATCGTGTTTTTACTATAAAAAAAAAAAAAAAAAAAAATAGACGAATTTGGTGGTCGTGACGCAACAGCGGCAATGTTATGATTATTATTATATGACTCGCATGGACAACAAAAAAAATATTATAATATTATGTCGACATAAATCTCAGTATTTTTCGTCCGCGAACGAGTATCTCTTAGTAGGCGACGAATTTTTTTTTTAATAAAAACTACAATGAAAAAAAAAATCCGTAAACTGACATAACATGTAAAAGATTATGACTGTATATACAAGACCAGTCAGCGATATTATTTGTTCGGTTCTCCACAAGACGTCAATCGGTGAAACTGCGCGTCAAAACGAAACAGTAAAAATACTATGTTAAAATATTCTAGTTCCACCATAAAGTCCGAGTATCGGGTCCACTGCGAGCGCATGTTATATCACTCGGTCGAAGTAAATTGTATTTTTCCGACTATATTTTTGATCGCGAATTATCATTATGTAATTTACCGATCGAGCATTTCAACGGGTAGAACAGGTATGTTATTATGATAATAGTATTATATTATAATGTAAACACACGGTCGTCAATCGAGTTGTGCAGCCTGTACCGAACCCGTAGAGAACACGATCTTCCGTCGCAATATAATACGCCTCGTATGGTTATATCATCGATGACGACAAAATCGCCGTTTACCTACGCGCGGTGAAAGCTCTCCAAACGTGGTAGGCGCGTATTACGATACGTCATAAAACGCCATAGAATAAACTTGTATTCACGCAATTACTTCGTCTATTGTGTCGTGTCCAAAAGTTGAGTTGAACCCGACTGCCCTGACTTTGGAAATTTTCCGGTAAACCGAGGTTATTGAACGAAACAGTGATTATAACGGCCTATCAGAATATGACAAAAGCCATATGACGCATCAGAAGACGTGGCTGCGTAAAATCGGTTAAACGTGATCATACATGACCACAACCCGGCATACGGTACCCGATAAATGCACATGAGTGTGCAAATACTAATATAACAATCATAGGTACTTATATTTACAGTGCAAATATAAAGCCAGTGATTTTTTTTATAAATAATACATCACTGGCTGCAGGTACTTACGGTGTTTTTGGCATCCATCGACGTTTTCGGGCCAGTCGCAAGAGTGAGTTTTCTCGTTGTACAGCAACCCACCGATGCACAGCTGTTCGGTGGCAGTGCTATTCCAGCAAGTCCAGTAACGCGTGCAAGATGTCTCGTGACCGAATATTCCGTACAGCCAATCGCAGTGTTCCCTGGCTATTGGACCGTCTGTGAAACGCAATACGTACGGTTATAATGATATTAATCGACAACTACCACAGTATCAAAATTGCCAAATCTACTGTGCATATATTCCCGTGCGTGTTAAATTTGGGGAAAATCTCATATCCAACCCTGCAAAGGACCACGCTCTGTTAACTAGAAAATTATGTATAAATATACAAACAACTAACCTGTAATACAACATCTCAAATAAAAAACGTTAACAAAAATTGCAATTCAACTTCACCACCTATCTTGAACACCACTGAAAACCCGACAAAATCGCGTTCATATGCAAATGTAACACAGGATTACTAATCATTTAAATATCATCTTACTCATGTATAAAGAACAATAAGGTCTTATTTCTTAAATTTTTTGACCTATTTTAAACAACTTCTTACTACTGTCTCCTCAGACCTCACAAAAGCACCATAAAGTTTCATCATTAAATATAGACACATTACAACAAATTTGTTTTCGATAAGACACAATAACAAAACTCCAATAAAAGTTATTTTTCGTTGGAATTGTTTTATTAATTTAAAATACAATTGGTCCAAGTACCTATTCAATTTATTATATGACTATGTATGTTTTTGTTTTATAATTACATTAGGTAAGTACAATATACATATAACATACTTTAAATATGTTAGCCAAATGTCAGTCAAAACTTTAAATCTACATTCGTAATGACTTGGCGTATTTCTACGCCAATTCTAATATCATATTATATTATACTTGATAACCGAATTCAACTGATATTATGTGTCATATAGAACTTTCATGTGTTATAACAAACAAAAACATTGACTAGCACGCAAATATTGATTAACATGGACATCCAATGCGCAGCAGCGTATTACAAGTTAACTAACCTGCAGTTGTTATTTATATATCTGAGGGCAAAGTATACAATAAAAATTATCTTCGTAGGCCAAGGATCACGGATTGCAGACTTTGTTTTAGCAATAACAATAATAAAAATAATAAAAGTAATTTAGAACAATACAAGACGCCGTGCGCGCGTGTTGTATGACGATTATAATATTATATTGTAATCGGTTCAAATAGATTATTATTATTATTATTATTATTGAATGTACTATATTATATTATATTATTGACGTGGACATTGCGAGTTTCGTGAGGCGATCACTTGCCTCCTCGGGTGGGCGTCTAATCCGCTTCAGGCGTCAGCAGTATACTTTCACCTCCGCGCAACGACGGACTTGCCGTATAGCACGTAGCACTGTCGACATGCATAAGTTTAATAATAATATTAACATTATATGGCATTAATGCTGCACCTATGGAGAAGTCCATTGGCTTGGACATCGCCGGAGGAATATATTCGAATATATAACATGGAATAAAACGCTCGTGACGACCTGGGCAATGATGGGATCGTGTGTATATTATTATATTGGTAGGGTCCATCGCATACATTACAATATATAATTTTAAATAATAACCAGAGGCGATCGCACGGAATACCCGTATGCGCAAGAACGGACTTCGATGAAAAAAGTGTGCAAGCTCCGATTTTGGTTCATTGCTTTCAAATTTAAAGACACCGTCCCTGGAACAGTGTCTAGCTCCATCCTGTCTGGTTAGGTTAGGTTTTAAATCGTTTTAAATTTCAAAAAAGACTTATCAAATCATATAATTTAACGATCATTGAAAAAAAATACTACCCACGTTTAATCACGATTGAATTACCTTAACAAATGTGCATAACGGTTTTAATGGACTTCATATTCATTGTTTGCATTAAATCACACATAATACCAAAGACTACTCATTGTACTGTTTATAAGCTCACCAACACGCTCGTGGCCTGTAAAATATCTTAATTTTAAGTATAAACCATAGACTTTTTCTTGACTCATGCCTTATACTCGTAGGTACATTGCAGACTAGTAAATTATTTTATATACGGAATATAATATATTCTATTATTTTAAGGGCTGTCTTACTGGCTTGAGTTTTGCCCTCGCAGTAGTCCGCTCTCCATGGGTAGTCACATCCCTCGGTGACACCCCTATGTTTTCCTGCGAAAACCAGACCGTTTGGACAGTCGTACAACTCAGGCTGACCGTCCACGCATTCCCAATAACGATCGCAGTAAGCTGCATCGGCTACCACCTTGTTTTTGGCTTTGCACGGATCTTCCTGTACATTGGATGACTTCAATTGTTGCTGGCAGTAGCCTAAAAACAAAACACAGAGTTCAATGCGATTTATCTCGTGTTATTAAATCAACTACTCGCGTATTTTAATAACTAATATTGTTACTACACAAAAATTAAATCCCTGTATAATAAAAAAAAAAAAAAAAATCGATGAATATCAATTACACCGATTGTCGGTATGACATCAGTCCGTTCTAGGTGGTACACGGTATAAAATAATAACGTAACAATAACCGGTAACAAAATGATTGGGTTAACCGGTTTCATAATATATAGCCGTAATGGTATTTTAACACGTCGTGTCTTCAACCATGGACGGTGCGCGAGATTCGCCGAATTTTGTTCGATCGATTTGCTCGTGTATCATTGCGTCTTGCATAATCGTCAATAATATTTACATAATATATGAGCATAAAAAAAAAAAACTTAACGACGACTGCAGCCGCATATATATTATTATAAACGCGTATACCGAATTTACGAAATCGAAAAAATTTGTCCATACCGAAACTGTCGTACGTACGATGGCGTTCGATTTCGGACCCTTCGCTGTTTTTAATATTTATATACCAAGCACGATGGTATAAAAATTAAAAATCTCGAGGGGGGAAGTAACCCAGTTTTCCCCTTGCAACTATGCCGTAGCGATGTAAAACGATACATTTTTTAGGCCTGTACAACAATAACAGACCCGGGAGCACTGGTTTCAGCGCTACTGTGTATTGTATTCGAAATGGCTGTGACTTTTGAACAAAAACCCTGTTCGTGCTTTTTATATGGTTTAATAAAATATCGATAACTGTCATTTTTATTGTTTCAACGCGATATATTTTACAAATGACAGTCGGATCACGATCCGAACGCATACAGTGGAGATGCGACAGGGTAGTAGACGATTAGGCTTTTTTTTCGTCAAACCAAAACGACAACAATGAACGTACGCGTTGCGCAATCCACTCGCGCGTGACCTTTATACGCCGCAGTCGATTACATTCCTGTCGCAGTACATAAGCGCAACTCCGAGGATCGACTCAAGTCTTGGTACACAGTACACACATATACGTAGATATATAACACTTAATCTAGGCTTCGAATCCCACGGTGAAAGCAGCGACGATGATGTCGACGAGGAGATAACTATACACGTCGTGATCGGTTTATATTTTTTCGTTTTTGAGAAGAAATGACCGGGTTACGTCACTCGCGCCTAACCTTGCCGTCGTGCATATCAATACATCATCAAATTTCGCTCATCGGACGCTATTATAAAAATAGATATAGGCACACTGCAGACGGATATACCTTATACATACGTCGTTTTGTACCTCCACAGCATTATGCTATATGACGTACGTACGTATATTATACGCGCAATGGTTATAATAATAATTATTATTATACGACTATTATGTTTATAAATATATTATATTATATTAACGGCGTATAATGCACCTTTTAGTTTTTAGAAAGCTGTGGCGGCGACGCAGTCTAAGAGACCTAAGTGCACGGTACACTTACGAGATGTATACCACGCCGCCGCCGGGTCACGCAAAGAACATACCTTACAGATGCGTATCCTATGGAGCCGTTGAACTTTTGCATAATATATGTCTACCGTCTGCCCCGAACGGTCGACTTAACGTACACAATGGATCTATACATTATGTTATGAGATTTATATTGTACACACGCATTAGATAATAATATTTTACGATACGTAAGCTATATGTATATTCGTTCGTATACACAAATACCGAATAGAAAGCTGCCGCTGCATACGAACACAATGACGCGAGGGCGGAGGAGGGCGTGTCGTGCGTCGTTTTTTATTTATATTCTTTTTTTTTTGTCACCGACGTCGACGCGCTAATTATTATTATTATTGTCACTGCCGCCTCCGCCGCCGGACGGTAATTATTTTAACAATAACGTTTTATTATTATTACGATCTTATTGGTTCTCCTCTCTTGTCGTGCCGCAATTATATACATATATATATATAGGTATCGTCATTACCGCAATCTCAGTTATATTAGTTATTACGACGATCGACGTTGTCGTAATCATTGTTGTTGCTGTGGAATTATTCATTGACGTATTATTATTTGTAAAAGCGGAGAATCTCAGGCACACATAGCTCCGGGACAATAATCGCGGACAAAAGGCGGACACAGAGAAATTGAAGGAACTCAAAATAATTTCGGCCGCGGTGCGTAACAAATCGTCTTAAATACATATATTTCCCTGTATAGCGAGACAACAATACCTCCCCCGCCTCCATACGAGCACGCGTCTAAATCGTCTTCCACTCGAGGTCGTCGCCGTGACGCTTATTATTAATAATAATATGTTAAGATATACTATGTATACTTTATGTAACAACCTGATAATCACGTTTAAATTGTGTAAATACACGACGATGATAATGTCGATATAAATGCGACCATTTCGTAAAATCGCTCAGATCCACCTACGTTTGTATACAAACGACAGCGGCGTAAAATTTTTTTGCGATTCTTGTACCGTACCGTCCGAAGTACTGATTATGTCGTCGCCGATGCCGAACGAAAGAAAATTCAAAGCGCGTGAAACTTTCACCTTTTTGCTCGTCTCCGTTGAGCCGTCCGAAATCAAAATTGATGCTTTGCACTTGTTATACGGTTTACTGCGCGCGCGGTCACGCAAACCAGTCTGTTTCATACGCTAAAGCAATATGACACAATCGACATAAGTACCTACTCCGTTTTTATAATCACGTGTGACGCGCCACAAATACGTCTCTTAAAGTTTATGTGGTCCGAAAACCGAATATACATAACTTCCACTTTTCAAGTGTAATACCGAGCGTTAATCAAAAGAAAGATAAATATATATAAAAAAGGTGTATTATTGCAGAGAAAACTTGACCATCGTCTTGGTTGCGCATTGACCGTAAACGTGTAGAAAACTTAGAAAACGACTGCATCGACTTTCCTCTCGTTGCAGCAAACAATAATCGAGATAACGACCGATATTATGTACAAACTCATATTGGCTGTAGTTTAAGTAGTATATACTCTCTTTTCTCTGTTCGTGTTTATTAAAAACTGCACTTTTGAGTTAACAAATCAACTACACTTTCATCAGCCCGAAAAATTGTTTTCACTTTGACGACAATAAAATCATTATTAAACTCACCGTACCAGTGTTTTTGTGTTTTCCATGAACACTTGTCTGATGTTATTGTTTATCTTTTTCACGTATAAGATGTATTGACAAATAAAAAATTCATAGTTGGCGAGCGAATGGGAGGGACGACGAGAACAAGCGCGATGAAACACATGCATTACCCTGTAATTATATGATAACACAAGGGAGTTTTTTTTTTTCAATTATCTCGGATTTTCAAGGTTGTGAACGAATTAATAATAACGATAACAATGTACACTATGCACCTAACGTATACTGTAAACGCGTATAGTAATAAAAATAGAAACCGTCCGCGGTCTGCGGGCGGGAAAAATATATAATAAAAGGTCGAGGCCGACGCGGTCAGTCGTCTCTCGTCGTCGCATTTAATTGCTTTTTTATTATTATTCGCACAATAATACGCATTATATTATTATTAATAATCATAACTTTGCCTTGCAAGACGTGTGTGTGTGTGTGTGTGACACTATCTATACTAATTTACGCACGGACTCGTGTGAACACATTGCGATAATAAAGTACAATACATTATACACTCATAATATATGTATTATGTATGTAAGTTTCGTATGTGTGTGCAGGGATGATATTGTGTCCACGATGAGAATAAACGTACTATATTATAATTCATGGAATATATTACATATAATTTGCCACGATTGTATAATGAGAACGACTTAAAAATCGAATAGAAAAAATACCAAATAATAAAGCGCATTCACGATGAGCGTGTGAAAAAAATGCGCCGAAAGCGTTATTAAAATAAAAAACAAACCGGATTGTTTATATCTTTGCAATAGATGATTCAAAAATCACACACGAATTTGAATGGATTTCGCAATCCACCGGTTAATGTAATACAACAACGACAATGGTGATAATGATACATGGTGTATTAGTATTTACCAAACATGCTAATCCCCTTTTTTTTTTATTTAAAATCTATTTCAGTTATTCAAAAACTCTGTTTCTTGAATTTTTTAAGTACATCTAATATATTTTTAGATAGCAAACCATACTTTCTTGGATTTATTAGCTCTACATTTAAGAAGTGTTCTGTGGATAATATACAAGCTTCTGTTTTTTCAAACGAGAATCTTCCTTTCTACTATAAATTATTTAGTGGATAATTTCCCAAAAATTTTAACTTATCAAAATCAAAATTCAAACGAGCATTTAAATTATTTAACTTTAGGCACTAATGGTCTAAAAATAGTGTAGAAAGTACTATAGGTTTATAATACTATGATTAAATAATTCACAGAAAAAAAGGGTACTTCTCATTTATAAACAGAAATTTGTATCGTAACATATAGAATACTCCTTAAGTAGTACAAAAAATCTCAAGAATTTAAAAATATTATTTTTAAGTATACTTAAATATTCTTGTAAACATCAGATTTTGTATTAGTTCATTATTAAAAGAAAAATATGAGAATGAACAGACTTAGTGAAACGCTCTGTATAATAGTGGACTATAACTATGATATGATGATGATAATTATGATAATGTGCTTTCTGGCTGTTTCGACGAAGACACCTCCGCTGCGATTACTATGATATTAATATTACAACTATTACAATCGTTTTCACTGATGGTATTATTAAAATAAACGTTTATTGTCAGCACATAAATTATGTGTATAACCCATGCATGTACGTTGAATATTCAAATTATGTTAATAAAGGTCTCAAGTTATCGCAGCTAATGATGTTAAACTCCCAATAGTCCCTCAGGAATTGATTATCTGTTGGATATAATTCACGCTTTTTTGGGTTTTCGAAAAAATATTGATGGTAAAATAGGTTTGGATAATAATACTTGTAATCAGATAAATTAGAGGCAAGTGCATGAACTAATAGTTGGTGATATAACGTTAACAGTATGATAATTATTGTATCTACAAAAATAGTTTATATACCTCCATGATATAAACTTCCTGTGTAATCATGTTGCAGAAATTCTATTAGAATGAACTATGGCGGATTTCTAGCGCGCGTTAACGTCTAATCTATATATGTAGTATAATATATATATATAATCTTTATGACACGTGACATGTAGCTAATATAATATAAGATACACATAATATTATATATTGTGTTCGCTCGATGCGGAATACGCCGCATTCCTATAAGATCATGGAAACCATTAGTTTTTATTAAAAAACATGACGTAAAAATGTGTTGTACAGGAACGATTTTACGAAACCAGTCGAAAGTGAAAGTTTGCATCTTTGACAGAACGTTGTCGGATACAAAAATATATTCTTAATGATATTTAAGCAAAAAATGTATAAATAATAATGATATATTATATCCCACTCGGCTAATAAATGCACTATGTAACTACTTTTAATTAATTATGAAAAATACAAGTTAAAACTAAAGCAACATGCATAATATACTTTATTTTTTATTGAATAACAGAATATTATTTTTTTTTCAAAACCTGTAGTTAGCAACATGTTATTTAAAACCATTATTTTTTTTTTTTTTAGTATTTGAGTATTTTTTTTTTTTTAAATGTTTTTAGTATTTATAAAGAAAGAGAATCTGGAATCCTTACAATGTCATCTGTCTTATTTTAATGTATTCTTAATAGGAATTTGAATCTTGTGTGATGTCCATCGGAAATTCATTTCAAATTAAAATAAATTTATTTACGTTTATTAGTTCCACTTCTTCATAGTCGACTTTTAAAAAATTACCCAACTGCTACATTCAACACAGTCAATAAATAATGTAGTTTAGAACTATATTCTTATGTAAAATGAAAACACGTCGATATCAATTGTTAACATAAAAATATATAAAGGTATATCAACATATAGTACCTATATTGTAAACCCGACACATGATTATTATAAAGCGTAACTATATTACATAGTATTGTATAGGATTACATGAGTTTTTTGAATTGACAACATAAAAACTTGTCACTTATAAATTTAAGTTAAATAACGACGATTTTAATTTCCATACCGGTTTCAAATTTGTCATACGTTCACATCAGCAGACGGTTAATCATATAATATATTACCTCAAACAATGTTCACTACAGCCTAGACGACTTTGTATAAAAATAATGCTCCCGATTCTATAAAAAACTATGTACAATGAACATTCGTCGTAAATGAAATATGGTAAATTTTCCTTCGCCAGTGAATATATCTTCATTAAAAATTTTAACTATTATATCCTTGTTATTACTTATCCAAAATATAACAAAAATGTATTAAATACCTATTAAAATCATTTAATGGGAAATAAAGTAGATTGTTTAAATGTTTACTAAAAACATTTTTTTTATGATTTAATAAGATTTTGAAATACAGATCTATCTTGAATAGTAATTAACTACAGCTATAACTTGATTTTTCTAAATTCATTAACAATAATAGATTAAAAAAAAAATCATATTTAATTTTAACAATCATTCTAATCTTAAAATTATTATTATTATTATTATTATTTTGTCAATAATCCAAATAAAAAATTTTAATATTAATTATTCTTTGTTAATGAAAATATCAATAACTAATCGTGTTTTTTTTTTTTATTACAAGGTCAAATAACCACAAATATTACTATTGGGTTCAAACTAGAAACCATGGGGTAACAAAAAATGCAGTTTAATTAAATTTAAATTCTAGTGGAAACTAATTCATTCAATATATTATGCAAAATATTGAATACATAACTTATGATTTTTTCATTGTGTAAATTATTTTAGTTTTTTTTTTTTTTTTTGTTATAAATTATAAAACTATGATAAATGTGCAAAGAATGTTTTAAGAACTCTTACACAAAAATATATTACTAATCAAATTATTAATAAGTAAATAATTTCGTCAAGAAACAAGATTTACTATATTAAATGGCGCATACATCATATTATATTATGAAGTATAACGGTCAGTTCGTGGTTTTTTTTATTTAGAGAGATGTGTTGAAGTCTTCTGGAATATATGAAATACGCCATGGCAGTAACGAATATATATTTTAAATTGTTTCCGTATAAACTCTACAGTACAAGATATTATTATAACAGGAATAATCAACGGACATTCGAAAAGCAATTTTATACATTTCATAAGTACATAATATTGATACGATGTTTTACGGAATACTCAAAAGGTTATTTCAATCATACTTCGTAGTAAATATAATATTACAACTATATAACTCGTATGATTATCACCACGACTTACTATTAATCTATAATATAAAATAAAATTCGTGTATAAAATAATATAATAAAATTGTTCACTTACATTGTTGAACCAGGTAAGTGGTGAGAACCACCCAAAGACATGTGTTGCGCTTCATCGTTGTCGCGGAAATAATAATGAGCAGTAACTGACGGCGCAAGAAGGCGGTCGTGTTCGACGACGATGGACGCGACGTCGTACAGTAGAGAAGGACAAACGCAACGACGATGGAGAGGAAAAACGAAATATAATAAAGCTGAAGACGCGCCGCCTTCACGCGACGATAGGGAGAGAGATGAAAGTGAGAGAGACCTTGCGTTTATTATATATACACTTAATAAATATATATATAAAAACATACATACATAATATTATATGAATACAGGTGGTTCGCACAACACCAGATCCCACGGCCCATCTCTCGTGAATTTATTATATATTTATGTATATTTTTCGTGTACGAATTACTACACTACATAATGATAGTTGTACTGTAGATGTATATTACGTGTTACGCATCGCATTATTACGTGTGTGATGTTGTTAAATCATTTTTTTTCGAATTTTAATGAACTAACCGCCATACCGCAAAGATTTTAAATACTAATAAGTTCGCACTTTGTGAAAAGATATTTTCAACTTATCTAAAAACAACGTTCTTCCTGAAGTCCTGGTGAATTATTTTTTCGTCTCCACTTGATGAGAAAAAAATGACATTTAGGAAAGATATGTAGGTTGCATGCACGTTTCGTTCAAAACTAAAAAAAAAAAAAATGAAACAAAAATAATTGTACCTTTATGAATTAAAATAAATTAACCATTTTTTTATACTTCAGTATTGAATCTTGAATCCTATTATTATTTATACATTTTTTGCAATTATTTTTTATTAATTATTAATCTGTATTACAAAATAATATTGTACATGTGTAATTTAATATAATATTCTTTTAACTTTTTTTTTTCTTACTTAAGCTACATGTTATGTGTGTAAAACAATAAGCTTAATTAATAGATAATATTATAAACAATTATGACAAAATTTATGGTCCATTGTTCAAATTTTATAGAAAAATTTTCAATACATGAAATTCTTTACGAAACAGTTGGATTATTTACAAATATTAAAATTGTAACAAAAGTTCGTATTTTTTCCTATTATTTTAAAAAATACTGAGAATTTTTATTTTTGACCTCCTAATAATACCAATTATTTGTAAATCTAATTTTTAACCAAAAAAACCTTTAAAGTTGTTCATCGGTCGTTTAGAGCATTGTCGTTACTAGAGAAATTGTCTTTAGGCACAAAATTATATGAAAAAAATACATATAATAAAATTTTAAAACCAATACATTCTTTGCTTCACTCAATATCTGAAGTACTAATAATGACAAGAAGTATGGAGTGTAAAACCCTCTTTGTAATTTCAGCGTGAAATCATCAAACATACGTTATAATTTACCATAGTTATTCCCATTCACTGCATTGACGTAAAAAATGCGTCCGTATTAAATTTGGTAGTCTAATGCTAACATTTAACGTAACGCGAGTCGATAAACAATATTTTTGATTTTATAGTTTTATCCAACAGGTTACAGTTAGGCTACCTTACAATAATGCCATAATAAACAATTAGTTTTACGTCATATGATGTGGCGCTCTTTGGGAGTTTCAAAAGCTCTAGAAGAAAAGGCTCTAATCTGGTAGGTCACCTTATGTCTCGCTCCTCGAATATTTTATTAGATTTAATGACTAACAATAGCCGCACATATCTAGCTGATCATCCAATGTTTAATCTTTTTGGTGGCGTTTCAAATAATTTTCAATATTTAATTTTTTTTTTTTAATAGACTTAATATACGATTATACATACTAACCTCTTGATAATAGCTAACATCAAAATCATCTATTCCCATAGTTACCTATTTGTATGTGCTTTAACTTTAAATTATATTAAATCGCTCATTATCATATATGACCCTAACATGTACATACCAAGGAACCATATTATACTACAGCCATATTTGATTACACAGATAACGTTGTTTATTTGCTATAAGCAATACGCACCGTATACTGGGCGTATAATATAATGTATGAGATATTTTTAATGAAAATTGGCAAAAGTCTGATTTGTCTCCATTGGTGTTAGGTTTCATTATAATAAAGATTAAAACCACCGGTATGTGTATGCCTTAACACCAAAAATAAAAAGAATGTTGACAATTTCGTACTTTGTATTTAGAAATATTATTACAGTGTTATATAGTACAAATTAGTAATAACAATATGATGTGTACTTTATAGATAGTTCATATTTTATTTTATTGTCTTTCTGTTGAACCGTTTTCATTTCCATCATATTTAACATACATTTTGTTTATAAAAATGTCTACATTTAAGAATATGGTGAAGTTGAGCAATGAAAAAACACCCATTATTCCTTGTTTGATTCTTATATTATTTTATACTGTTATATTTTTTTATTTGTCACAATGTTATTAATTTTTTTTTTTTTTTTTTTTGTTAAGTTAATAATTTAAATTAAGTCTAATCTGTATTGCTTCAATATAGACTGTAGCGATAATAATAATGCTATTCGCTTATAAAAATGTCAGAGGTTCCGTTATTTTCATATAGCTTAGTTAAACAACTGTTTCATCATAAAACGTGATAATAGTAACTCTAATTTAATAGTAGAAAAAAATGTTTTAAAACGCTAGACATATTTTTTTTGCAACCCTGAACTCATGAGTCATGAGTGTTTTATTATGATATATGAGAGTATACACGTGTTCTTGACGATCTATAAACAATATATTATAATATGGTACTATAGTCTATAATACTCAATATATTTATGAACAATTGTTGCAAGTAGAAGATTTATAAATTGACTCCTAGATCTAATCATATTATGAACTTTGATCGGCCAATAACTTTCTCGATTACTTAAACAGATAAGCGTATTAGTAGTCGGACACGTAGACGATATTTTTCCGTGGCCCGCAAGCCTTATGAAAGTATGACCTTAGAACTTACAATTTAATACTCTAAATCGACTACATAACGTGATATCGTAAACATTTTGGATATAATAACTTTTCTGCAACTAAAGCAGCTAAGGTTAACCCTGGAGCTATATTATGCTATATTATGATATAATAATATAGTGTTTATTGGTATAGATAATAAACGCATCAATACAATAATATGTTCGTATTGGACCTATAATGCGATATAGATGTCGTCAAGTATTCACAAATTATTATTTATCACAAATAATTTCTTTAAAATAATTTAAACCTCTTTTATAGCGACAATCGAAGTATATATGAGTATCAAATATCAAAATGTATACTAATATACCCACAGTTATTTTGAAAATTTTATTGTATATACAATATCCTACTGCTACTGACCTACAATACATTATCATAATTCATAATATCACACAACGGATCCATTATTTCGTATTATTACATATTACAACGTAAAATACGATGTAATATTATGTTATTTTTACGAATTAATTATCTAACCCAAAACACGTTTTGAGGGTTAAGTGTACACGTCATACATTGTGGACCTACCTATCATACAATAATTTTAGAAATTAAACACAATATTTAAGTACATGGAATATAATAAAAATAAGCTGAATTTAAATAACGTAAAACGTCACGATAATTAATGATTTGTACAACTATATTTCTTCTTGACAAAAAATAACTTTCTATGATATTATTTTCGAACAAATATGTATTTTTATAACGAACAATGTGCAATTATCGCTCGAACGATTTAAAATAATACGATTACACGTACAACTGCAGTACTTATAAGAATGCGAAGAAAGTAGACAAATTATGATAATTAAAATGATATCAGTACATTATTGAAGCATTATTGTTCAAAAAAAAAGACATACCGCATCTATTATTGTTTGCTAGGTTAGTACCTAAGTTAAAATAAAATTTAAAAAAAAAAAACATAAATATGACTATAACATAATAATTGCATCGTGTAAGCTATTACCTTTAAAGATGTTAAAAGATACACGAAATTATAAATGTATATATATATCATGACTCAATATAATCGTTGTAATAAGTATTTTATAATATATATTACCGTTTTAATCTATCATCGAATATCTGTTCCAGCGTACGTGTGAATATAGGACTCCGTTTATTAACAGTTATCGTCATCATGATATTATCTCTTGTATAATACAAGTCTTAAAAATGATTTACAAAACTACTAAAACAACCGTCAAAAATCACAAGAGGAAATCGATAGTTTCTCACTGCAGCCACTTATCTACAATAATCTACGTAGTGGTGAATATTATAATGTAATACAATCTCAACAATTTCGTTCAAAACTGACATTTTACATTATGCGAAATTGTGTTTTTTGTTTTTATTTTCGTAAATAATAATTGTGTATTATTTTGATTGAACACTAGTCATGAATAATCCAAACACTTTCGTGCGTTTGCTTAATGTTTTAGTTTTATTTTTCGGTCAGATTTAATATATTATACACGTCGAACACTGGATAAGCACGAAATTCGCGTTTCATAATCACGCTACGAACGAAATACTTTTAGCAAAATTACACCTGTCCATGCTAATCTTATGTAGTTATTATATATTTTAAGGTCATAGTTTTGATTTTTTTTTCCAAAAAATTATGCTCATCCGTGAGAAATATATTAAACAATAATAGATAATTAAATCTGAATTTGTAATAACCTCTGATCTAATGTTGGCTGTACGCGGCGAAGATTCCCCTCCTCTCAACGAATAGATCGTTTGAAGAAGTTTTATATTTAATTTTCAAAAAAATATCAGGATTTTTTCTGTAAAGTAGTCAAAATGAGAGTAATACATTTTCTATGGATAAAATTTTTTAATATATTTTCTAGTTTCGACTCATAAATCATAATGTGTATATATGCTTATAATATATTATGATCATCGGTTATGTATTATACATACTTACACAAGTACATTATACTATGAAATGCAATTACAAAAAGGAAGTGACAAAAATTGTCGTGTCAACAAATTGATCAATGCTAAATAAAAGCAATTTAAACATAATTTTAATATTTTGTGTCTAAAAAAAATTCCTACATTTTAACTATACAATAAATAATAATATAAACGTAATTTAGGACACATTAACGAAGAAAAAATGCGTTCTTATTGATAGCCGTTCACATGTAACGAG